TGTTAAGAAACCTACTTGCGGTAATACACTGTAAGTGTTAAGGATAAATTAGGTTAAAGATGCCGAAAGACTCGCAACGACGACTCCGGAAGCAACAAAAACTCACTGACGACGACAGAATCGCACCAAAGACGGCTCCAATAACGACAACTCCAAACGACGTCACCTAAAAGCACAAAAAAATCAAATCAAAGTCAGTAAGATAAACCCTGGTGAACAGAAGCACCCCTAGTCAAAGGCAAGCAAAAAAAAAAAAAAAAAAAGAAGTCAAAATAAAGCAACTGGTTTTATTTGTTTTGTGTTTATGGTTACAATGCAATGATTTGCTAACTTATTTTTTTTGTCTCTTTCTAGGTGTTTCAATTGGAGTGGTGATATCCCGTTTTTTATTTTCTTTCTTTTTATTCAATTCTTCTTCCTTCCCCTCCTCTTCCTCCTCTCTCTCCTCTTCTTCCTCCCCCTCCTCTTCCTCCTCTCTCTCCTCTTCTTCCCCTCTCTCCTCTTCTTCCTCTCGTTTCTCCTCTTCTTCTCGTTCCTCTCGTTCCTCCTCTTCTTCCTCTCTTTCCTCTTCTTCCTCTCGTTCCTCCTCTTGTTCCTCTTCTTCCTCATTAACTATTGCCCACTCTGGAAAACCTTCAGGTGGTGGTTCAGTTAATATAAAAGATGTACGCCGTCGTGGTCGTTTATATTTAGGAACCATAATGGTGTCAAAAACATCATGAAATAATTCACGTAACTATGTTTTTAATGTAAAAAAAGACACTAAGTTTGAACATTATACTGTAATATTAAAGTGTCCAGACTTATGCGATTTCAGGAATTTTTCATTGTTTGAACAATGAAAAATCCCTGAAATCGCATAAGTCTGGACACTCTATATCAGATATGTATTTACAAACGTTAAAAATTCGGTACCTCTTGTGATCTCCATGACAAGTCACATATATTAACGTATATATTTCCTTCTTCATCCATTTCGTTATCTGCGTCAGATAATTCGGGCGAATGGGCATCGCAAGTTCCTAAGATTTCTTTCATTTCATCCAAATCGTATGACATAATATGACTGTCTTTTTTTGAACGCAGATATTTATATGCCGCTGCTCGACGAGACATTTTCTATAAAAAGTATTAAAAAATAAATAAAATAAATAAATAAAAATAAATAAATAAAATTAAATAAA